TGTATATGGACAGATAATTTTCAACAAAGGAACCAGAAACACACAATGGAATAAAGATAATCTCTTCAATAAATGCAGAGAAAACTAGAAAGCCACATGCAAACAAATGAAACTGGATTATAGTTTGTCCCCATGTACAAAACTTAATTCAAAATGCATCAAAGACCTAAACATTAGACCTGAAACAATAAGTTACATAGAATAAAAGAGAGGTAACAAACTTCTCCCAAGAAGACAGATGAACAGCCAATAGATATATGAAAAGGTGTTCAACATCACTAGCAATTAGGGAAATGCAAATCAAAACTACAAGGAGGTACCACCTCACCCCTGTTAGAGTGGCCATTATCAACAAGACAAGCAATATTAAGTGTTGGAGACGTTGTGGAAAAAAGGGAACCCTCATTCACCGCTAGTGGGAATGTAGACTGGTTCAACCACTATGGAAAGAAGTCAGGCAATTCCTCAAAAAATTGAGACTAGAGCTACCATATGACCCAGCAATCTCTCTCCTGGGTATATACCAAAAAAACTTGAAATCATGTATTCACAAAAGTATGTGTACCCCTATGTTCATTGCAGCATTATTCACAGTGGCCAAGACATGGAAACAACCAAAGTGTCCTGTGACAGAGGACTGGATAAAGAAGATGTGGTGTATATACACAATGCATACTGCTCAGCAACGGGAAAAGATGAAATACTGCCATTTGCAACAACATGGATGGACCTTGAGAATATTATGCTCACTGAAATAAGTCAGTCAGAAAAAGTATATGGATCAGAAGAACCATATAATTTCTCTCATACTAGAGGTCTGGTGCATGAAATTCATGCACAGGGTGGGACGGGGAGGGAGGGTGTCCCTCAGCCCGGCCTGCACACTCTCCAATCCAGAACACTTTGGGGGATGTCCAACTGCCAGTTTAGGCCTGATCCCACAGGGGATTGGGACATCCCTCTCTCAGTCTGGGACTGTTGGTTCCTAACCACTCGCCTGCCTGCCGGCCTGATCGCCCCCTAATTGCTCCCTCCTGCCAGCCTGATTGCCCCCTAACTGCCCTCCCCCCTTGCCAGCCTGATAGCCCCTAACCACCTCTGCCTCAGCCCCCGCCATCATGGCTTTGTCTGGAAGGACATCTGGAAGATGTCCGGTCTAATTAGCACATTACCCTTTTATTAGTATAGATGTGGTATGTAAAACTAAAACTTGTGTACACAAACAGCAATGTGGTGGTTGCCAGAGGGAACGGGGTAGGGGAGAAGGAGTTCTTAACCTGTGGGTCACAGCCCCTTTGGGGGTCAAATGACCTTTTCACAGGGGTGGCCTAAGACCTTCGGAAAACACATATATAATTACATATTGTTTTTGTAATTAATCACTATGCTTTAATTATGTTCAATTTGTAACAATGAAATTGGGGGTCACCACAATATGAGGAACTGTATTAAAGGCTCGCGGCATTAGGAAGGTTGAGAACCACTGTACTAATGTATGGTGACAGGAGATTTGACTTTGGGTGGTGGGCACATGGTGCAATATACAGATATTGTAACAAAAACCCACACTTGAAACCAATATGTTCATGTTGACCAATTTCCATTGGTTTTTAGAGAGAGTAGAAGGGAACGGGAGAGACAGAGAGAGGCACATGGATTGGTTGCCTCATACACCAGCTAGGGCCCTAGTAACCTTTCAAGAACGTGTCTATTTGCACCTTAATATTTTTTTAATTCTTTATAATTTGATATCCATTTACATCTCTTCCACAAGTATATGCACTTTCTATCTTACCAAAGAGAGCACTTTGTAGCTCTCTTATGCCTCATGTATATGTACACTTAAGGGTGTATAATAAAACAACTTCTGAAGGTCAAGAACAACCTAATTTTTCTTTATCTCCTAACCTAGGGCTTTGTGCATGTCATTCATTCGCTCAAGGAACACTATTGGAGAACCAAGATGGCGGCATAGGTTAACGCCGGAGTTTGCTGCCTTGAACAACTACTTCAAAAGTGAAACTAAAAAACGGAACGGACATCACCCAGAACCACAGGAACGCTGGCTGAGTGGAAGTCCTACAACTAGGAGAAAAGAGAAACGCATACGGACACTCAGAGGAGGCGCAGTGCTGAAGTCAAATTCTGAGGTGCGGAGTGCGCGGTTGGCGTTTTCAATCGGGAGGGAGTCGCAGACTCTGAGCTCCAGATACAGGTGAGTCTTTAGGGACTCAGACTCAAACGGGAGAAGCGGGACTGTCTGGCTTCGGTCAGAGCGAGTGCAGCTTTCTCTCTGAGCTTTGCAGCGGGTGCTGGGACTCAGAGAGGCAGAGCCCCTGGGGACAGGACTGAGAGCTGCCATAACTGCTCTCTCGGGCCCACCCTGTTGATCCTGTGCGACCCGCCCCGCCCAAGCCCTGCACAGAGCCATTTGCCGGATAGCCTCAGGCAAAGGCTAGATTAGCACCTCCCTAGAGGACAGAAATTCTCTCACTGCAGACACAGCTGATTCTCATAGCCACTTGGCCTGAAGGTCAAACCCTCCCTGGTATTAGCTACAACAATCAAGGTTTAACTATAAGACTGCGAACAAAGACCACTAGGGGGTGCACCAAGGAAGCATAACAAAATGCGGAGACAAAGAAACAGGACAAAATTGTCAATGGAAGATATAGAGTTCAGAACCACACTTTTAAGGTCTCTCAAGAACTGTTTAGAAGCCGCCGATAAACTTAATGAGATCTACAAGAAAACTAATGAGACCCTCGATGTTATATTGGGGAACCAACTAGAAATTAAGCATACACGGACTGAAATAACGAATATTATACAGACTCCCGACAGCAGACCAGAGGAGCGCAAGAATCAAGTCAATGATTTGAAATGCGAGGAAGCAAAAAACACCCAACCGGAAAAGCAAAATGAAAAAAGAATCCAAAAATGCGAGGATAGTGTAAGGAGCCTCTGGGACAGCTTCAAGCATACCAACATCTGAATTATAGGGGTGCCAGAAGATGAGAGAGAACAAGATATTGAAAACCTATTTGAAGAAATAATGACAGAAAACTTCCCCCACCTGGTGAAAGAAATGGACTTACAGGTCCAAGAAGCGTGGAGAACCCCAAACAAAAGGAATCCAAAGAGGACCACACCAAGACACATCATAATTAAAATGCCAAGAGCAAAAGATAAAGAGAGAATCTTAAAAGCAGCAAGAGAAAGACAGTCAGTTACCTACAAGGGAGTACCCATACGACTGTCAGCTGATTTCTCAACAGAAACCATGCAGGCCAGAAGAGACTGGCAAGAAATATTCAAAGTAATGAATAGCAAGAACCTGCAAACAAGATTACTTTATCCAGCAAAGCTATCATTCAGAATAGAAGGTCAGAGAAAGAGCTTCACGGATAAGAAAAAGCTAAAGGAGTTCATCACCACCAAACCAGCATTATCTGAAATGCTGAAAGGTATTCTTTAAGAAGAGGAAGAAGAAAAAGGAACTCTTACCATTTGCCACAGCATGGATGGAACTGGAGAGCGGATAAATACCACATGATCTCACTCATTTGTGGAATATAATGAACAACATAAGCTGATGAACAAGGACTGATCCAGAGACGGAGAGGCATTGATTGGACTGTCGGGACTTGGAGGGAAGGTAGGGGAGGGTGGGGGTAAGGGGGAAAGATCAACCAAAGGACTTATATGCAAGCATATAGGCCTAATCAATGGACATGGACAACGGGGGGGTGAGGGCATGAGCGGGGGGGGGGGGGGGTAGAGGGTAACGTGGGGACAAGGACACATATGTAATATCTTAATCAATAAAAAATATATTAAAAAAAAAAAAAAGAAACTTTGCAGGCCAGAAGGGAGTGGCAAGAAATATTCAAAGTGATGAATACCAAGAACCTACAACCAAGATTACTTTATCCAGCAAAGCTATCATTCAGAATTGAAGGTCAGATAAAGAGCTTCACAGATAAGGAAAAGCTAAAGGAGTTCATCACCACCAAACCAGGATTATATGAAATGCTGAAAGGTATCCTTTAAGAAGAGGAAGAGGAAGAAAAAGGTAAAGATACAAATTATGAACAAATATGCATCTATCAACAAGTGAATCTAAGAATCAAGTGAATAAATAATCTGATGAACAGAATGAACTGGTGATTATAATAGAATCAGGGGCATAGAAAGGGAATGGACTGACTATTCTTGGGGGGGGAAAGGGTGTGGGAGATGCGGGAAGAGACTGGACAAAAATCGTGCACCTATGGATGAGGACAGTGGGTGGGGAGTGAGGGCGGAGGGTGGGGCGGGAACTGGGAGGAGGGGAGTTATGGGGGGAAAAAAGAGGAACAAATGTAATAATCTTAACAATAAAGATTTAATTAAAAAAAAAAAAAAAGGAACACTATTGAGTTCGCACAATGGACCAGTAACTGAGATAGGTGCGGCAGGCATTCAGGACGTTCACCGAACTGAGCACCCCTAGTTTCAGATATCCTTTTATTGTACCAGTGGGTCGCATTCCACATACACGCCCCGCGTTTTAAATTTCCAGATTGAGACTTTCTCATTTCTATTGTGCACTAATCCGGAAATAAAAGCGCTGAACCTTTAGCCTTTAAATGTATTGACTATGTACAGGTCCTTCCCTTGGCCCTGTTAATAATTCCTTAAAACGCACCCAAGCGCCATACTCTGGGGGACTTCGAACCGGGAGAGTAAAATCGAGGGCAGCCTGGCGATGCAGGGACTTTTCACCGAAGTCTGAAGGGCACCAGGGTGGTGAATGGCTCCATAAGGACGCCTGTGTAATAGATATGCAAATCATGCCGCACAGGCTCGCTCCGGGTCCGGGAGCGCCCGCAGCCCCACCCCACTTCCCCGGGTTGCCTTACTCAGCGGGGCGGGATCGCCTCCCGCGCGGAAACCGAGGCCAGCCCCGCCCCCGCCCCGCCCCCCGCCCCAGGCGCGCGCCCGGAGCCCCGCCCATCCGGCTGGAAGGGCCGCCGGCGCTGCGGCACAGCGTCCTGCCGACGGATTTGGGCCGGAGCCGCCCGTGACCGGCGCCGCGCGCGGACGCCATGCGCGCGCGCCCGGGCCAGTGACAGCCTCCGGGATGGACGGTGGCTCTGTCTCGCGAGAGGGGCCGAAGCGCCCGCCCGACCGCCGGCGGCTTCTGCTCTTCTTACTCGCCGGCCGCTGCGGAAGCCCGGGCGGCGTCCCGGCGCGCCGCTGCCTGTCCGCGCTCGCAGAAGGTCTGGAGGCGCTGGGCCCCCGCGCCCCCGCGGCCCGCGTCGCGTCACGTGCCTCAGCGCTGTACCTCCTGGTGCAGGTGCCCGTCCCGCGCCTGGCCGCCGCCGCCCCGCGCCGACCCCGGGGAGACCGGGAGCGCTCGCGCCTGGGGCCCTCGGCACCCCCAGCCGGGCGCTGCTGCGCGTGGAGGTGCCAGCCCGGCCTCGTCCCAGGCGTCGCCTGTGCCGCAGGCCCCCTCCACCTGTGCCATGGCCGAGTGCCCGCCCTCGCTTCCGCCCGGAGAGGTAGGGTCCGGCGGTCGGAGGAGAGGGGGCTCGCCCCGTGGGGCTGGGACAGTGGGGCGGGGAGGAGCTGTGGCTTTGACCTCCCGGGGGAAGGCCCGGAGACCCAGAGGTCGGGTCACTTGAGGTCACCAGGCTCCTAGTGCGTGGGGACGAAGGTCTGTCGGGCCCCGCCCTTCTGGTCCTCGGTATACAGGACTTGGCCAGCTAAGAAGACCTGAGTTACTCGGAATGCCGGCCCAAGGGTTTGGGCGCAAAATTGAAATGGGATGCGGGGAGGTGGTGCGTGTCGGGGCGGTGAGTTTGTGCACGCCCCTGTGCAGAGCTACCACGTGGGCGCTAGCACACAGGTTGCTGTTTTGCCAGCAACTCTGATGAAGGGTGTGCGGAAGGCTTGCACGTTTGAGAAGCGGAGCTCTGGGAAATGAAGGGACTGTTTTACAATTTAAGTTTAAACTCTAATGGGTTCGTTGTTTCCTTCAATTAAGCAATAGCTCCTATTCTGTGCCTGGTACTTTCCTAGATACTTGGGATCTATCAGTCAACAAAATGCCTTCCTTCTGTTAACGTAAAAAAAAAACACCATTGAAACCTGTAACGAATTTTTGTTAGTTTATTTGAGCCAAACTGTTGACATATGCCAGGAAGCAGAACCTCAACGAATTGAGATAATGCTCCAGAGAATGGCGGGCTACGTCTGTATTTATACATTGCAATCAAAGGACAGACGTAGGTGGGTTACATGAAATCCATTGGTGATAGACTAGAGAGGCGGGAGAAAGCAAAGCAGGGTAAAAAGTAAAATAATAGAAACATACTTAGGTGGGTGCAGGAACAATTAACATAACAATGAAGGAATTTGTGGTATCTGTCCTGGAGCCCAGACACATTAGGTTGTGCCCTAAGGGGTCCAGAAAAAGGGAAGTCACAAGTTACCCAGACATTTCAAGGGTATGTTTTATAGATGCAAAAAGACAGATAGGCTCAGTTAAGATAAAGGCTGACCTTGTCAGTGAAGATACCAGCCTAGGACATAACTACCCACCATAATTGCTTTTAGTTAAAGTTTAATTTCAGACCATCCTTTGTGGTTACTTTAGGTCTCTGAGTTTGCAAGACCGCCATGCAGGCCCCCCCTGAGCTTGTCAGGTTAGCATGTGGCCCCTTTTGTCCACACTTCTTGAAGCTTAATTCTAGCAGAGGAGATGATACACAAATATGTTTAAATAGATAGATATAGATATAATTTTTGTATACATATACAATTTACATATGCACATATGATATTTATATGTACATAATGGATAAATACTACAGGAAAAAATAGAGGTGGTAAGGGTTAGGAAGTGAGATGGGCCTCCAGTTACGAATTTAATAGCATCATCAGAATAGGTTTCATTGAGAAGGTGGCTAAATACTTGAAGGGGATGAGAGCAGTCACTGTCCTACATGAGATTAAGGAAACCTAAACAGGTTCAATTTACTAGGTTTGGCTGGGGACGATACTGATTGGTAGAGCAACAGAGTGAACCAAGCTTGACATACAGAGGTTGGCGAATGAGTAGTGAATGAACTCTGTCAGTGTCCTGCAGTAATTTTGAGTTAGAGATGGTTTTGAACTTTATTTCTGTACTTTGCCTTTTGGTGCTCTTTTTTGACAAGCTGGAAACTTGTGATTTATTTTCCTCTAAAAACTCAAGATTATGGGACAAAAGGGAGAGTGTTCCTTCTCATCAGTTTTTTGACGAGCAAAGTAGTAATGTTGGTTTAGTCTCAGATTATGTCATTCTTCACAGTGTGGATGGATTAATAAATACTTTGGGGAAACACAGCCAAGACAGTTAAGGATCATGTATGCCCACTCACCATCAGTAAGTGAGAGTTTTGTTCCTTTGTCTTCAGCCTAATGGTTTGTTTGGTGCCGAAGGTTCTAAGTAGGGCTACTTAGACTTAAGGATGTTATGGATAGGAAATTTGTAGTTGGTTCCTTCCTCTGGTCAAGGGTAACTTTGGGCTTCTTTTGTGTGTTTTTTAATATCCTTTTGATATACTGAAGGTCCCCCAAAGGAGAATTTCATATTACACTTTAACATAGCTCGGTTTACTTGCTTCCTGGTTATAAATAGGAATTTATAGTTCGTGGGAACCGTTTTGTTATCACAATAAAAGAAGAAAAGTGAGTCAGAGGTGTTCTGGATGTCTGAGTATTGCTGTTACCCTTTGACAGAAAGCAAACTGGCATTCACCTTCTGTCAGCAGGGGTTGGAGGGCCAACTGGGAAGTGGCCAGCCCTTTTCTCCACTTCTCAGATGACAGTATTTCTTTGAAATAAGCTTGCAATTGAAATAAATTCCAATACTTTTTTTTTTTTTAAATCAGCAGTATCTAAGTTGGAGTTGGCTCTTGCTTAGAAAATAGTCATAATGCTTTGTTTTGTTGGGGAAGGGGGGCAGATTATTTTGTTATTAGAAACAAGGAAATTGGGAGTAGACTAATCATGTCATTCTTCATAAGCCAGCTTTTAGACTCCAATGTTTTCAAGCTCCCTAACTCATTACACAGTCCTGAACAGTTCTGTGATGGATGGGGTGGCCTGTGGAGAACCCCTTGAGAGGTGCATTCATTAATTCATTCATTCACCCACCCAATGTTTTTAGAGCTAGGTCTGTTTTGTGTCAGCAGACATTCAGGTTCTCTTCTCATGAGACCAGTTTTTGTCCCAGAACTGTAGATAAAGAATGAAAAAAGAGATACTCATTTATGTGAAAAAGGAAGACCATAGGCAAAGAGCAACACTTGTTCCTGTGATTTTTGTGAGCATATAATCAGATGTGCCTCCCTTCGCACAGTATCTGTCACCTAATAATTGGTGACAACCTTATTATTTTTGCCATTGTTACTCTGTCTTCTGAGCATGCTCCCAAGCCCTATCCCCACATGTGGTGGACACTCAGCTGCGTGCATAGACATTATGACTCTGCCCCCTAATCAGAAGTGGCTGGGCCCAGCAGGGCCTCTCAGAGGTCGAAAGGCTGGCTGTGCCACTAACCGGCAGTGACTTTGGGCAAGTGTCTCAACCTCCCTGAGTCTTATATTTCTTGTTTGGAACATGAGGGTCATAATAGACCTATATCCCCCATAGGTTTGAGCTGAGGCTCAAATGAGTTACTGCATGAACAGCATTTAGCACGTTGTGAGGCACATGGTAAGCACCTTTAGATATTAACTATTCGTGTTACTACTGACCCGTGTGACTGCAAGTTATTTGAGTGCCTATTGCAGTGATGGCGAACCTTTTGAGCTCGGCGTGTCAGCATTTTGAAAAACCCTAACTTAACTCTGGTGCTGTGTCAACATATAGAAATTTTTTGTTATTTGCAACCATAGTAAAACCAAGACTTATATTTTTGATATTTATTTTATATATTTAAGTGCCATTTAACAAAGAAAAATCAACCAAAAAAATGAGTTCGCATGTCACCTCTGACACGCGTGTCATAGGTTCGCCATCACCGGCCTATGGTATACCAAGCACTGTCCTTAGTGCTGCAGGTACATAGTGAACAAAACCAGGCACACCCTGACCTTGCAGAACTTAGATCTAGGAGGAGAAGGCAAACAATAAACAGGTAAATATAATATCCAGTAGGGAGCAGTGCAATGAAGAGCATTAAAGCAGGATGGGTCTGTGATACAGATGATTAAGAAAAGGGGTAACATCAAGCTGTTCACTGAATGTTTTGGGTTCCCCTTCCCGACCTTTGTGACTTGATTTGGCCAATGAAATATGAATAGAAGTGGTAGGTGTCATTTCTGAGTGGACCTGCAGAGGCACGGTGTGATTCTCCACACCCCTTTAAAAATATAAAAAAAAGGAACAAAAAAGAGGTACTACTTTATGTAAAAAGGGAAGATGATAGGTTAAGAGGAGAAAGGAGTTGATCTCAAAATTTCCTTCTAGACCAGTGGTTCTCAATCTTCCTAATGCCGTGACCCTTTAATACAGTTCCTCATGTTGTGACCCAACCATAAAATTATTTTCGTTGCTTCTTCATAACTGTAATTTTGCTGCTGCTATGAATCGTAATATAAATATCTGATATGCAGGATGTATTTTCATTGTTACAAAGTGAACATAATTAAAGTGTAGTGATTAATCACAAAAACAATATGTAATTATATATGTGTTTTCCGATGGTCTTAGGTGACTCCTGTGAAAGGGTTGTTCGACCCCCAAAGGGGTCACGACCCACAGGTTGAGAACCGCTGTTCTAGACAGTCTCATGATCCAGATCTTAGAAATCATCCAATTGAATTTTTGTTTTTAATATGTTGTTGGCCTGCAGTATGGCAGGCCCTCTGCTAGATGCTAACAATACAAAAATGACTAAGATTGGCTGCTCTTGGGGTTGTGGACTAACACATGATACAGATATGGAAATGATATAACAAGTGCTATGATAGAGCCATCTGTACCAGGCTGAGAACACAGATAAGGGAGCAATAAAGGCTGCTCCCTGACCTGGGTGGGGTTGGCAGAGAGAACTATAAACTGTATAATCATAACCAGAACATAATGAAGACTTAGGAAGTTGTCAAATTAAATGAAGGGGGTAAAGAAGGTGCTTAAAATTTACCAGTTGAGAAAGGGAGCAAAACAAGCTTCAGGATGGAATACCAAAGTATGAAAGAAAGTTCAGGAGGCAGAATAGCTTAGGTGGCTAGAAGAAAGCTGAAAAGGTAAGTGGAGGCCAAATTGGCACAGGCTTTGTGTGCTTTGGTAAGGACTTTATAGTATAGTCTGGCTAGTGATTTTTTTGAATGTAAGAGCCCTTTTTAACCATTAAACACAGATAGACAGTTGTTGCATTTTATATTATGTCAGTCTGCAAACTGTGTGCTACAGAGTGATTATTGGATCTCTTGATCTTACTTGATGCTGACTATGACCAGCAACCATACTCAGTCCAAGTCATCAGTAAGTTGGGAACCACTGCTCTAGGCTTACAGAGAAGAATCAGATCCGTGGGGTTCTGTCCATGTCATCTTTTTGCTTACTTTGCAGTTGCTATTAGAGTGTGTAAGGCTGAGAATAGGAGTTGATTAGCTGAAGTATCTTTCTGGTCATTTAGGAGATCTACTGAGAAAACCTTTGAACTTTGAGTTAGTAGATGACTGTTCTCTCTTCTACCACTCTTCTACAACACCTGGCATCATTTGAAAAGTAAGAACAAATATGTAGCAAGATTTACATATCTATGTTTATTACATTTAAATGGAGGATTTTTATTTTATGTTGTCCATCTCTTTTTTTTTCCCTTTGCTATCAAAATGTCTTTTTTAGTATGATTATAATAGTAAGGAGCTATTACGTTTACATGTCCTTTTTTGGCAAAATTATAAATTGACACTGCAGTTGTTCCATTAAAAAAAATAAATAAAACTATTATTGTGGTTCATGAAATACAAAAGCCAGGAAGCCATTACTATGCCACCTCCTTTAAATGAGCACCTTGAAATAAGTATACAAAACAGGTTGGATCTGTGGTTAAGTGCACAGAAATTCATAAAAGTGGTAATATACAAATCGTTAGACTTCATCTCTCCAAAAATGGGCTTTTGCAAAGACATCACAAGGAAAGAAAATGACAGATCAATGTCTCTTGTAAATAAGGATTAAAAAAAAAAAAATACTAGCAGACCAAATCTTGCCATACATAGCAAGAGTATACACCTTGACCAGATGGGATTTTGTCCCAAGAATACCAAGTTCATTTAGTATCTGAAAATCAATTTATGTACTGCACCTTATTAACAAAATAAAGGAGAGAAACCACATGATCATTTCAAAAGACAAAGAAAAGGAATTTGAAAAAATTTAGCACCCCTTCATGATTTTAAAAAAAGACCACTTGACAAATTAGGAATAGAAGGGAACTGCCTCACCTGATAAAGGGCATCTGTGAAAAACCCATGGCTAACATACTTAATTAGGGGCCCAGTGCACGAATTTGTGCACCTTGAAAGGAACTGTGGGCGTGGGGCAGGTCTCGGCCCATCCTCTGCGCCCCCGCCCACTTCCTCCCACCGCGCCCCTGGTCACCTGTTCATGGGCAGCTCTGCTTCTGCCACCGCCACTCCCACACGCTGACAGCACTGGCCCTGCTCGCACCCATCAAAGGCGCAATTGGGGCCGGCGCCAGCAGTGGGTGCAAGCAGCAGCTGCTGCCCTGTTCGCCCCTCAGGAGCAAGGGGAGGTGGAGAAGCCCTGGGGCAATCAGGGCTGGCAGCTGCTGCTAACACCCAGTGATGGTGCCTAGTGATTGGGACCAGCAGTGGGTGCGAGCTGGGCCGGCGCTGGCAGTGGGTGCAAGCTGTGGCTCCGGCACTGGCAGCAGGTACGAGTGGGGCTGTCACTGGCAGCAGGTGCAAGCAGCACCTGATCTCCCCTCAGGAGCAGGGGGAGGTGGAGAAGCCCTGAGGGGCAATTGGGGCTGATAGCCGTCACTCGCACCTGCTGACGGTGCCAAGTGATTAAGGCCGGCACCAGGCGCCAGCAGTGGGTCAGTGCCGGGCGGGACTGTGGCGCGTGGGAGCAAAGAATTTTCAGTAACCACCAGAGGCTCGCCCCAATGACAGCGACCGGTGCCCCGCCTTGGTCTGGAGGCCCTGCTCACCTGCTCCACCATCCCGCCGGGGCCAACGCCCGCCAAGTTCTGCTCATGCCCCCTGGTAGTCAGTGCACGTCATAGCGACCAGTTGTTCGGTTGTTCCGCCATTCAGTCTATTTGCATATTAGCCTTTTATTATATAGGTTGGGGAAAGACAGACTGCTTTCCCTCTAAGGTCAGGAGCAAGGATGTCTGCTGTCATCATTCCATTTAACATTGTACTAGAATTTCTAACCAGGGAAGTTAGGCAAGAAAATGTAAAAGCATTCAGATTGTAAAGGAAAAAGTAAAACCATCACTGTTCACAGGTGACGACCTTGTACATAGAAAACTCTAAGGAATTCACTAAAAAACTATTGGAGCTAATAAGTTCAGCAAGATACAAGGTCAATCTATTTTTTTTTTAATATACAAAAATCAGTTTTATTTCTACACACTAGCAAGGAAAAATCTGAAAAATCTAAAAAAGAATTCCCTTTATAGTAGCATCAAAGAGAATAAAACACGTAGGGATAAATTTAACAAAACATAAAATTTGTACTCTGAAACCTATGTAAGATTATTAAAGGAATTAAAGACATAAATAAATGGAAAAACATTCCGTGTGTGAATCGGAAGACTTTAATATTGTTAAAATGGCAGTACTCCTCCAAATTTATCTACAGATTTAATACAATTTCTATCAAAGTTCCAGGTGCCTTCTTTGCAGAAACTGAAAAACTGACCCTAAAATTCATATGGAAATGCAAGGGACTCAGAATAGCCAAAAGCAGTCTTGAAAAAGAACGGGGTTAGAGGATTCACTTCCTGATGTCGAAACTTACTACACAGTAATCAGGAAAATGTGGCACTGGCATAAGAACAGACATACTAGTATAGATCAATGGGATAGAATGGAAAACCCAGAGATAAGCCCTCACATTATAGTCCATTGATTTTTTTTTTTTTTTTTTTTTTTTTTTTTTTTTTTTACCAGAGTCACAGGACAATTTAAGGGAGAAAATAGTGCTGGGACAACTGGACACCCACATCGTTCAAAAGAATGAAGTTGAACCCCCTTCTCACAACGTCCTATCTAATAAAAGAGTAATATGCAAATTGACAATTTCTCCAACTCACAAGATGGCCACCCCCATGTGGACACAAGATGGCCTGCAGGGGAGGGCAATTGGGGGCAATCAAGCCAGCAGGGGAGCAGTTAGGCATCGATCAGGTTGGCAGGAGAGTGGCTAGAGGGTGATCAGGCTGGTAGGGGAGTGGTTAGGGGTGGTCAGGCTGGTAGGGGAGTTGTTAGGGGGTGGTCAGGCTGGTAGGGGAGTGGTTAGGGGTGGTCAGGCTGGTAGGGGAGTCGTTAGGGGGTGGTCAGGCTGGTAGGGGAGTGGTTAGGGGTGATCAGGCTGGTAGGGGAGTGGTTAGGGGTGGTCAGGCTGGTAGGGGAGTCGTTAGGGGGCGGTCAGGCTGGTAGGGGAGTGGTTAGGAGCAATCAGGCAGGTGAGCAGTTGGGAGCCAGCAGTCCTGAATTGTGAGAGGGGTCCCAGATTGGAGAGGGTACAGGCTGGGCTGAGGGACACACACACACCCCCTCCCCCATGCATGAATTTTGTTCACCAGGCCTCTAGTATACAAATATTAACTCAAATCGATCAAAGACCTAAATGTAAGAGCTAAAATTGTAAAATAATTAGAAGAAAATGTAGATGTAAATCTTTGTGAACTTGAATTAACCAATAGTTTCTTAGATATGACACCAAAAGCACAAGGAACAAAAGGAAAAAATAAATTGGGCTTCACTAAAATAAAAAACTTTTGTGCTTCAAAAAGCACTACAAAGAAAGTGAAAGACAACTCACAGAATGGGAGAGAATATATGAAATCATGTATAATACGGAACATGTATCTAAAATATATAAAGAACTCTTACAACTCGCAATAAAAAGATAATCCAATTTTTTTAATAGGCAAAGGGTCTTAATAGAAATTTCTTCAAAGGAGATATACAAATGTCCAATAATCACATTGAAAGATGCTGAACATCGTTAGCCATTAGGGAAATGCAAATCAAAACTACAATGAGATACCACTTTACACCCACTAAGATGATTATAATAAAAAAGTTAATACCAAGTGTTGAGGATGTGTAGAAATTGGAACCCTCATACATGGCTGTTGGGAATGTGAAAAGGTGCAGCCACTTTGGAAAACAGTCTGGCGTAACCTCAGAAGGTTTAACATAAAGTTACTGTATGGTGTAGCAGCTCCACTCCTAAGTATGTTCCCAAGAGAACTGAAAACATGTTTACACAAAAACTTATATACAAAGGTTCATAGCAGCAGCATTCATAATAGCCAAGAAGAAACAACTCAAGTGACATTCAATTAGTGAATAGGTTAAATAAAATTGGTATATTTATACAATGGAATAGTATTTAACAATAAAAAGAAATATGGTACTGACACGTACTACAAGGTGGATGAACTTTGAAAACACCATGCTAGGTGAAAGAAACCAGTACAGAATACCACATATCTTATGATTCTGTTCATATGCAGTATCCAGAGTAGGCAAATCCATGGAGACAGAAAGTAAATCAGTGTTTGCCTGGGAATAGGGGTGTTGGGAGTTTAGGTATAGGGCTTCTTTGGGGGATGATGTCAGTGTTTTAAAGTTGATTGTGGGGGTGCTTGCACAACTCTATCTATATATATAAAAGCCTAAGTGACTGTTATGACCGAATAACCGATTGACTGGTCACTATGATGCGCACTGACACCAGGGGCAGATGCTCAATGCAGGAGCTGCCCCCTGGTGGTCAGTGCATTCCCACAGCCAACCTCCTTCAGCTGGCCAACCTCCCACAGTCCCTCCCCCAGCCAGCTGGCCCCGATCAGGACTGGGCAAGATGGCCCTGATCGCCAGCCAGGCTGAGGGACCCCACCCATGCACGAATCTGTGCACTGTGTCTCTAGTATATAACAAAAACAATCAAATTATATACTTGAAATGGGTGAGTTGTACAGTAGTATGTGAATTATAGCTCAATAAAGCTCTCGTGAAAAAACAAACAGGCTTTTGAGGTATGACTGATTTTTTTCATGTTGCTGATTTGCTTTTGTTTACCATTATGTCTGTTTGAACTTTATTGTCCTTTCTGTTTTAGAGCTAAGCCTCTCTGCTGGGTGCCTACAGTTGGAGCACAAACGCCGAGATTTCACCTCCGCTGGGAGTAGGAAGCTCTACTTTGACACCCATGCCTTAGTGTGTTTATTTGAAGAAAATGGTAATCCTCTCTCTTTGGTCACTCAGTGCCATAGAAGAACACAATAAATTATGACTTCTCTTATGGTTTCATCTAATTTCTCTTATTTCTCTTTGACTTTTAAGTCTACAAGTAATCTTTTGGTCAGTCTCCGTTTCTTAAGTCCTCATTTTCTGTTGAAGGACATTTTTGCTCCATCAGGGCAGTAGAGATTTTCTCACACAGTCTGTCCAGGTGAAGCATATTCTTTTAACATCACTCCAGAAATACAGTGCTAAAGATACAAAGTTAGACACAAGTCAGCAAAACTCAGGGGTGGTTCTTATGATGACTACCTGAAGCACAGAGTGATGTTTTATTACTGCATCTTGTGTGCTCTTAGAATTTTTATGAAATTAAAATGTTGCTGAGCAGTAGTTATTGATATCAACTCATTGTGTTCTTTATAAAAAACATTCAAACTAACATTTTCCCTCACTGCTCTTGTGTTCATTAATGTAAAAGATTGCTCTGAATTTTGTTGAAAGTGCACTTAATCTATAATAATAATAGAGTATATGCAAATTGTCTGGGACGCCATCACAGTAATAATAACAGTAACGACCAAAAAGCAGGCTGCATGGGGCCACCAGGCCGGCAGGGGAGTTAGTGAGGGACGACCAAATGACTGAACAGCAGGCTGTGTGGGGCATCCAGGCCAGCACGGGGGGCAGTTGGGGGTGACCAGGCCGGCGGGGGGGCATTTGGGGGCAACCAGGCCGGCAGGGGGGGCAGTTAGGGACAATCAGGCCAGCAGGCAGAGGCGGTTAGGGGTGATCAGGCTGGCAGGGGGGGCAGTTAGCGGCGATCAGGCAGGTGAGCAGTTAGGAGCCAGCGGTCCCGGATTGTGAGAGGAATATCCGACTGCTGATTTAGGCCCCATCCCCAGGATTGGGCCTAAACCGGCAGTCAGACATCTCCCAAGGGGTCCTGGATTGGAGAGGGTGCAGGCTGGGCTGAGGGGACCCCCTCCTCCCCGTGCACGAATTTTGTGTACCAGGCCTCTAGTATATAGATAACATCCTTATATTTAATCTTATCAAGACAAATACACCAATACTGAGACACATATGCTCTCAAAATCAGAAACTCATATATCATAGATTATGCCTTGGAAATAAATATATGTGCTTTTACTTCATTGTATAGTTATTTACCCAGCTGTGCATGATTGTATCAGAAAAGCTGCCCTCTGTAGATGTACTGTATGTCCAGGGCAAGGTGATGGAATAAATTGTGTTCCTATGGGGCAATTAGAAGCTCTGGGTTCAAGCTGTGCTGGTTTCTAGCCTAGGCAGTCCTTTTATCATCCTCAGTTTCCATTACCTCATTGATGGCATGGGCATAATAAGAATTCCAAAGAACCTTTTAAAAATATATATATGTTTTTAGTGATTTTAGAGAGAGATAGAAACATCTGTGAGAGAGAAACATCGATCAGTTACTTCCTGCATGCCCCCTACCAGGGATCAAGCCTGAAACCCGGGCATGTGACCTGAACCCGTGACCTCTTGGTACATGTGCTCAACCACTGAGCCACGCCAGCTGGGCTCCAAAGAACCTTTTACTTTTTTTTCTCTATTTAATTTTTTTCCCCAAAGAGCCTTTTAAATATTAAATGAAATAATGTACGTAAGTGTACTCTGGAAAAAATGTCAAATGCTATATAATAATTTTGGCAACCATTTTCTTCTCAAACTTGAAATAATAGGCCTTTTTCACCAAAAACTTCTTTCATTGGCCAAAAAGAAAAGTGGAAGTGAGAAGAGGGCCATCTAAATTATCTTGATGAACAGCAGTCTTCCTAGTTTTTTTCTTATTCTTTTTTTGGGGGGGGTGGAGGGTGGGGTGGGGACTGTGTGTTTGTATTCAAAGTAACCAATTGTAAAAGGAGATTAGAGACAATGGGGACATTTCAACATCCACTAGGTGTATGATGGCGTTGAGGGAGCACAGGTAATTTTGTTAAGTGGAACAATGCAAGGTAGCTGCAGTGGACTCTAGATGGCCCCCAATCCTTCCAACGAGAGGTGGAGTTTATTGTCCCTCTCCCTCTTTCAGATTTGCTTATTTAGACAGGAATTGCATATGTCAAAAATATGATGTTTTGGTATATGTACTTTCTGCTTTTCTTGGGTTCAAACCTCGGTCCATGAATATTTGCATATTTCAAGAACAGCGATGTGAAGACCCCACTAAAGTGTGTGTAGGGTATGACCGTGCTGAGATCAGTGATGGATGTGTAAGTTGTCTGGGTTAGGGCAAGGCCAGGAAGAACCCTTCAAGGAATATTCCCTCCTTTACCCTTTTTTTCTTCAGTTATGTCTCCTGATTAACAAAACTTGCTATGTCTATAATCTCACTAACCCTGATGTGTCTTGTTCTCTCATTCCTACAAAAAATAATTTGTATCTGGTAAGTCAGCAGGTTTTCAGGCATCTGCTTTTCCATATTCCCTTTCACCTTCCACGGGTGCTTGTTAAATTTTAAGGCTTTGGAGTTTGCTTTTTATTATCAGCAGAAGTCTTTTCCAGTCTCTATTTTTATTTTCTTCATGATTGCCAGATCTCATTATGTTTACCTATGAACTTTTCTTAAAGTTTTATAAATTGCAAAAGACATGTTTATTTTCAAAAAATTAGGAAGACAGAAAAGAAACATGAAAAACTATTCTGAATCCCAATGTTAACACTTTGGTGGGTCAACCTTTTGGGTTATTTTTCCAGATGTGCATGACCTACACGTTGAAAACTAAAGGATTTTGAATGAAATAAAGGGAGTAGGTCTTCTTTTCTTAACTAGTTTTTTAGAACTTTATTGATTTTAGAGGAAGGGGGAGAGAGAAACACCTATTGTTTGCCTCCCACATGCACATGCCCCAACCAGTAACCTGGGTATGTGCCCTGACTGGGAATCGAACTTGCCACCTTTTAGTGTATGAGGTGATGCCCTAACTGAGCCACACCAGCCAGGCCTGGGAGTAAGTCTTTGAAGGTCTTTTTTGTCGCCTTTAAGTCTGTGCCTTGTTCTTTTTTTTTCTCTCTCTCTTTTTTAAAATATATTTTTATTTTATTTTAAGTGTGTCTGCTTTTTATTTTTTTCCCTATCAACATTATATTTAAAAATCTGTATTGTTGAAAATATTACATATGTCCCTCTCTTTCCCCCATTGACCTCCTTCAGCCCACCCCCCGACACCCCACTTCAGGCCTTCAGCACCCTATTGTCAGTGTGGCCATGGGTTATGCATATATGCATACAAGGTCTTTGGTTGATTACCTCCCATCCACCCACCCACCCTCCCCACCTTCCCTCTGAGATTCCACACTCTATTCCATGCTTCCATGTCTCTGGATCCACTCTGTTCATCAGTATATTTTGTTACTTAGATTCCACATATGGGTGCGATCACGTGATACTTATCTTTTTCTGACTGACTTATTTCACTTAGCATGATACTGACCCTTCATGCTGTTGCAAATAGTAAGAGTTCTTTTTTATAGCAGCATAGTACTCCATGGTATAAATGTACCATAGTTTTTTAATCCACTCATCTGCTGATGGGTACTTAGGCTGTTTCCAAATCTTAGCTATTATAAATTGTGCTCCTGTGAACATAGGGGTGCATATATTCTTTCTGATTGGTGTTTCTGATTTCTGGGATATATTCCTAGAACTGGGATTACTGGGCCAAGTGGGAATTCCATTTTTAATTTTTTGAGGAAACTCCATACTGTTTTCCACAGTGGCTGCACCAGTCTGCATTCCCACCAGCAGTGCATGAGGGTTCCTTTTTCTCCACATCCTCACCAGCACTTCTCATTTGTTGATTTGTTGATGGTAGCCATTCTGACAGGTGTGAGATGGTACTTCATTGTTGTTTTAATTTGCATCTCTCTGATGATCAGTGACTTTGAGCATTTTTTTCATATGTCTCTTGACCATATGTATGTCTTCTTTGGAGAAGTGTCTATTTAGGTTCTTTGCCCATTTTTTAATTGAATTAAAAATAAATAAATAAAATAGATTTTTTTACTTATTTCAGAGAGGAAGGAAGAAGGAGAGAGAAATAGAAATATCAATGATGAGAGACAATCATTGATCAGCTGCCTCCTGCACGCCCCCTCCTGGGCATTGAGTACTCAACCCTGGCATGTGCTCTGACAGAATCAAACCATGACCTCTTGGTTCATAGGTCAACGTTCAACCACTGAGGCACACACCAGCTGGGTTGTGCCTTGTTGTTTTTTTATTATAGTCTCATGCTTAATCTCATCCATATTATATCAGCTATAACTTTATTCAAACAAATGTGCCATTAATTAATTATAAGAATCAACAGAGCCCTAGCCCATTTGGCTCAGTGGATAGATCATCAACCTGCAGACCAAAGGGTCCCAGGTTCAATTCCTGGCAAGGGCATGTACCTCGTTTGCAGGCTCTTCCCTGCTCCAGGCCCTAGTTGGGTGCATGAAGGTGGCAACCAATCGATGTATTTCTCTCTCATCGATATTTCTGCCTTTTTCTCTCTCTTCCACTCTATCTAAAATCAATGGAAAAATATCCTTGGTTGAGGATTAAAAAAAAAAAAAAAGAATCAATAGATTCTTCTGAAATTCTTATAGATGGACATATTTAATAGAAAGAATTACTTTCCAGGGACTTGGTTTTAAACATTTTATTAGCATTTCCAATGTGAAATATAAATTACTATCTTAAGTTATTAAGAACAGTAATACTCCTGAGTCGAATCTTTATATAATTCAATTTAGCATCATTTCTTGAGTATAAAAGTATATATATTTTTTCCAGTGTGGGCCCCTATCACTAGTGACTGAAGAGAATTGTGGAGGAAAAACGAAAGGATTGATTTTAACATTATCTTTGAACATTAAATTAACAGCAAAATTATAATTTCCATAGTCAATAATTTGATTTATGCTCGATATAAAACAAATGAGCTTTTCTATGTAAGTAAATTATTTTTGCTAAATATATACATTTTAAAATTAAGGAAGTCACGTCCATTGAAGAAAATAAAAATTATCTAGAATCTTTGTTAAATCACAAAAGTGATAAATTCTATCTATAATATTGAGTCTTGCTTTTTTTCACTTGACCTTGCATGACAGGCATCCCCTATGTTGTTAGACATCTTCTGAGAACATGGTTTTTGACAGTGCAGAAGGACATTAGAGAGCAGTTAGCCCACTGCTCATTTCACATGAGGAAACACTCAGACGTGTCATACTTGTCCAGATGACAGACACATAATAGCCTGTGACTGTAGTCTCCTCATCTACTTCCCACCTGCTTCTCAAATTCAGACATTTGCTCCAGGTGTAACTTTGTGTTGTCTCCCTTTCTACGAAGGCTTTTCTTTGACAGCTAGAGTCTCCTGAGTGTGATTGTCTTTGTGTGTTTGCTTAGGGTTTACTACTCAACAAGCAGAAATCATTGTATCTGCATTGGTGAAGATCACGGAGGCCAACATGGATATCGTCTACAAAGACATGGTCACCAAGATGCAACAGGTTAGCTTTGTCAGGGCACCTTTGCAAATTTGAAATATAAAGGGAAGATGTCACTTGTAATATATATTTTTGGATAATATTGAAAAGTATGTAGTTAATTTTTATCATAGTTGAGAGGCTAATTATTGCAGTGGCATAAAAAGTATTTGCTCAAAGCTATTTAGTAAACTCTTGTAGAATCAAATTATTATGCTAGAAATGCACTATACTTGAAAAGTCTCTCTGCTTGAAAACTGTTTCAGTCCACCATCCTATATAATAAAAACCTAATATGCTAAGTGTCTGGTCTTCCATTCATCCAATCAAAGCATAATACGGCTGCTCAACCACTCGCTATGACGTGCACTGACCACCAGGGGCAGACACTCCGACCGGTAGGTTAGCTTGCTGCTTGGGTACGGCCGATTGACAGCGAGACAGCCAGACATGCCCTGGAGCCCTCCCGCAGTCCATCCCTGGCTGGCCAAATTCCTGCGTCCCTCCCCAGCCCCAATCATGCACTGGTGGGGTCCCTCAGCCTGGCCTGTGCCCTCTCGCAATCCAGGACTCCTTGGGGGATGTTGGAGAGCCAGTTTCGGCCCAACGGCGGAATGGCCGGTCGCTATGATGCACACTGAGCACCAGGGGCAAATGCTCAATGCAGGAGCTGCCCCCCTGGTGGTCAGTGTGCTCCCACAGAGGGAGCACCGCTTATCCAGAAGCCAGGCTCACGCAGGGAACAGGCCTAAGCCATCAGTCAGACATCTCCCAAGGCCTCCCGGACTGCAAGAGGGCACAGGCCAACCTGAGGGACCTCCCCGTGAGTGCACGAATTTCATGCACTGGGCCTCTAGTACTTTAATAAATGGAGGTGTGGCCAGAATTACTGCAGTGTGTTTTTGACCCAGTGGTCTTCAGACTGCCACCCTTTTAATTGTCATCCACTTGATGATGATACTAGACTTGAGTTTTTATTCTTTTCCTTTTCTCATTTTGGAAGAGAAAAACCTCTTTTCTTATGTCCCCATTCTTCTAGTTTCTCATTAAGATAATACCAGGTAGAGACCATAGGAGGTGGATTTCCTAGACTACACTAGGTTATCTGTTTTGCTTTCCTTTTCCTAGGAGATCACTCTTCAGCAAATAATGTCTCAGATTTCTAACGTGAAAAAAGATATGATTATTTTGGAGAAGAGTGAATTTTCAGCCCTCAGAGCAGAAAATGAGGTAAAACTAATCAGCCATTTATCCTTATAAAATGCTTCATATTCAGACATTGAGATATAATGTACATAAACGGAAGTGCGCAAGTAAGAGTACATCTTGATGAATCATCACAAAGTATGCAGTACCAGAGGTGGCCGCTGTCTTGGATTCTGTCACCATTGACTGGTTTTGCCCATGCTAGAACTGGAAGTGATGGGATCTTCAGTGTGTCTTGCAGCAGTAGGTCATTCTTTTTCATTGTCTGTGGTATATGAATATGCCACATTATTCTACTATGATGCATATTAGAATTGTTTCCAGTGTTATGAATAAATGCAGCTATAAAATAGCCCTTAGTTTCTTAAAGTGTGACATGGGATCAGCATTTAAATAAATGCTGTCTTTGCATCTTCCTTGTGTTGTTAGTCCTATCAGAATCTCATAAAGGAAGCTAATTTATTACCTGTTTGTTAGTCTTAGTCTTGCAAGAAACCTTCTAGCAAAGATGCTTTCTTTTGCTAGAAAAAGATGAAGTCTGAAACTCTCAGAATTATCCTTCAAGTCAGCTGTTTGAGGGCATTTAGTTAAAAAAAAAAAAATTAAAGGAGGTATTCAAGAAAGCAGTCTCTGAAGACAAATGTGTATGTTAAAAAAAAAATTGCACCATCCTGGCATGACAAGTAATCACTTCTCCTGTGGAGACTATTCAGCTAAGGTTGTATTCTGAATGTAGCAACTTCGCATTGAATGAGGGAAGACCTTGTGCATAAGTACATGTTCTAATATTAGTTTGTTACCAAGTTTTCTTTTTTTTCTAACCTTCTAAACATATTTTTGACTTGTTTCTTTTTAATGTGTTTTTAGAAAATAAAACTTGAACTACATCAGTTAAAACAACAAATAATGGTAAGATCCTCATTCCTATTTGCTTGCTTGTTTATAATTACCTAAGCTTAATAATAAATATAATGTTAGAAATACTTTATATGTTCTTAAAAATTTAATTCTATGTTAAATGTTTGTGTGATATGCCTCAAAGGTACACATTGAAAGATTTAGCTAAAAACACAGCCAATGAGTAAATTACTGATGTGTGTAACTAAATTCATTAAGAAAATTGTGTTCTAGAAGGAATTAAGTCATTTTTAAATAAGATTCTCTAAAGTAGCCAAGTGGAACCCTAATATTCTCTTTAAAGGGTTCTCACATGTCTTTAGAGAATTACATGTGATTTTAAAATGATTAGCACTGTGCCAGTTTGATTTTTTTAAATGGCAAGGACATTGATGTGAAAGAAGAAAAGATTTTGATGAGTGTCAGAAAGAAGGCTGTATTTAAATAAGACTGTAATATTTTACTTCTTTGAATCCATCTCTCCTTTCCAAAGTTGTCCAAGAAACAACTTTAATCATAAATTCTACAGGCTATTATCTTGGGAAGTTTGAAATAAAAAGCAACAGTGACCCATGCTGGGCTCATTTAAGCATAAAAGGCAATTATTTCTGTATATATTGGAAAGTCCCAAAGCAGGGCTGACTCCAGATGTGGATTGGCCAGAGTCTCCCCAATCACTGGTCCCCAGCTCTGTGAGCACCTGGGCTGACCCCTTACTTAGAAGAGTGGAGGCAGCTTCCACAGGCTTCACACACTCAGTGGGTTTTAATTTCTTACTTTGGATTTCTTTCTTTGTTGTTTGCCCTCCTACTAGGATGAAGTGGTCAAGGTCCGCACAGATTCCAAATTAGACTTCAATCTAGAAAAGAGCAGAGTAAAAGAATTGGTATGTTCCCTTATTAAAAATAGAGTATGAATTAAATTTTTTGCAGGATGGAATGCTTGGTCAAGTCTAAGTTTATACACAGTTCACAAGTACTATTAAATATTTCATTATTAAGACAGTTTTTTCTTTATTTTAATTATATTTTGGAGTAGGGCTTAAATTTGATGCTTTCATAAGTAACATTAAAATTAAAATGTTGCCCTGGCCAGTGTGGCTCACTCGGTTGGAGCATCGTCCCATACACAGAAGAAATGGTGATTTGACTCCAGGTCAGGGCACATACCCAGGTTGCAGGTTTGATCCCTGGTCAGGGAGCGTATGGGAGGCAACCAATCAATGTTTCTCTCTCTCTCTCTCTCTCTCTCTCTCTCTCTCTCTCTCTCTCTCTCTCTCTCTCTCTCTCTCTCTTGCTCTCTCTCACTCTTGCTCTCACTCTCTTCCTTCCTCTAAAAAACAAAACAACAACAAAAACTTTAAAATTAAAATATTGGTCAAATAAGTTTGAATCCTTTTTTGTTTCAGAGATACTAAATTATGTGTCACTTAGATATTAATAAAGAAATTGCCGAAACCGGTTTGGCTCAGTGGATGGAGCGTCGGCCTGCGGACTGAAGGGTCCCAGGTTCGATTCCGGTCAAGGGCATGTACCTGGGTTGCGGGCACATCCCCAGTAGGAGATGTGCAGGAGGCAGCTGATTGATGTTTCTCTCTCATCAATGTTTCTAAATCTCTATCCCTCTCCCTCCCTCTCTGTAAAAAATCAATAAAATATATTTAAAAAAAAAAAAGAAATTAAACTCAATCTTGACTTGATAGTAAATAATATTAAATTTTATACCATAATTCAAGATTTAAAAAATATTTCCCTTTTATCTTTTTCTTTAATAGAGAACTCGCAATGACTTTACTATATTATTTTGAAATGCAAATTCTAAATGAGTAAGTTATGTTAAATTGAAACTTTTAATTAGGAAAGTTAGTGCTGCACATTTGTTACCAAAAAGATAAACTAAGAAAACTGGAAATACAGCTCTGTTGCCCTTGCTTTTTCAAAGATAATGCATATAAATACAATATTTTTTCCCTCAGAGCTTTTGCAGTAATCTTTTTTTTTAACTGAGGTGTAATTGACATATATTAGTTTCAGGTGTACAACATAATGATTTGATATTTGTATATATTGCAAAATGATCAACACAGTAAGTCTAGTTAATATCCATCACCATATTACGTAGTTAAAAAATTTTTTCTTGTTATAAGAACTTTTAAGATTTACTCTCATAGCAACTTTCTAATATACAGTACAGTATTATTAAGTCCAGTTGCCCTGTGGTACATTACATCCCCAGGATTCATTTTTTAACTGCAAATTTGTACCTTTTGACTCACTTCACCCATTTTGCTCACCCTCCATCCCTTGCCTCTGGCCACCATTAATCTGTTCTCAGTATCTCTGAGCTCCTGAGGTTTCTTGTTTTTTTTCAGATTCTACATGTAAGTGAGATTATACTGTATTTGTCTCTCTGTCTGACTTAGTTCACTTAGCATAATGCTCCCAAGGTTCATCCATGTTGTTGCAATGGCAATATGTTCTTATTTTTTATGACAGAATAAGATTTCATTTGAGATATATACTATGTACCTCACATTTTCTTTATCCATTCACCCATCAATTGGCTCTTAGGTTGCTTCCATACCTTGGTATTGTATGCTGCTATGAACATGGGGGCAATAAATTGTATATTTTAATCTTTATGTGTTGGCTTGCCTCTGATTTTTAACCCATCTATCTTCTTATTCAGTCTTTATTTGGATTTAATAACATTCGGGAGATACCTTTTTTATTCTTAGCATAATGAGTAAGGGCATATAAAGCACTTTTCACTAACATAGAATTGGATACACATGCAGAAACTGAGTTCTCAAAATTTGTTCATTCTCATTTTTCACAATTTGCTTTCAACTAAAATATGCTACGCTGATAAATGAAACTAACATTGAAACACAAACAAGTATTTCACTATATTTTGGAACTGGGTATGGATTCAATAGTTAAGCTAAACTTTATTATACCAAGTAATTATTATTCTGTTCATATTACCCGTTTTCTAGTCTTAAAACGTTTTCAACCATGAAGATTAAATCACTTAGTATCACTAAAATACTTAGTGATCACTAGCATATGACTATATCTGGAAGAGGAGAGACTCTTTTGGTTACCTTTGTCCTTATAGTTTGTGTACTTAACAAATTTTCTGAGTTCACTTTGTTAAAAATTTTGTTTGTTTATTTTAGAGAGCAAGGGTTGGGGGGGAGAAACATAGATTTGTTGTTCCACTTATTTATGCATTCTTGTAAATGCCCTGACTGGGGATCAAAACCGCAACCTTGGCATATGGGACAGTGCTCTAACCAACTGATCTACCCGGCCAGGGCTGAATTCACTTGATTTAAGAAGATGCCTGTTGTTAACCAAGCTGGGAAGAAATATACCTAGAAGATTGGGAAATATGGGATGTGAGCCTGGATTAAAGCCTGTGAGTTTATACGATTTACTGATCTAGCTGAGAAGTTGTTCTTGGCGATCCTAAACTTAGATTATTCTGAAGTGCAGGACAGTAGCATAATATTATGCAGTTAGTATGCATTTAACATGCTTTGATGAAAATGAGTTATTTGACCCTCTCATTCCCTTGTTTAATAAAGTTGTAATATTGTGCCAATTACATTAACTGGGGTGATATTTACAGCCAGTTTCAAACGTACTATGGCAAGTGAACTGTTTTGGGATACAAGAAGATGGGACTTATTTTAAAAATCATGGCAATATCAAGATATGTAGGCTTTTCTTTACTCTTGTGGCTGAATCAATATTGACTTACTGAAGGCCAGAATTTAAAGGTGTGAAGAAAATCCAGTTCCACCTGCCTCTGGTGGGGATCAGATGCATAGCTCTCTCCTGGTCTGAAGCTCTGGCATTTAAAGACAGAGATGAGCATTCATTGGTACTATGACTAGTCCTTAGTTTGGGGTTTGGGGCTTTTTCTTCTTCATCTTCTTCCTTCTTCCTTGTTCTTCTTCTTTTTTTTTAATTTACAAGTAATGCTGTTGTAGTCCCAGGGGCAATTTTTCTTGGAATTATTCCCCACTTTTCAACTCTCTTGTCAAAGCCAAAACACGTATGACTCCGCATCCATCTAAATTGGTCCCTAGAGTGCCGGTATGAGAGTGGGAGGGACCTAGAGACATCACAGCTAAGAAATGAAAAGAAAAAAACAGAGAGAGAAAGGTGAAGGCTGACAAAAGGGAGTCCAGATACTGGAGTGATGAGTGAATATAAATAAGAAACCTCAAAAAAAATAGATCTGAAGGAAAGGGTCACGTAGACTCCTTTATCCTGGAGGCAGTTTCTAGTGTTACATATTCTTGGAAGTAGTGAGACCAGAATATTTGAGATACTAGTGGAGGAGGAGAGGAGAGAGAAAGAAATCAGAATCTGACCTATGTGACATGTTTGTTTCAGTATTCATTAAACGAAAGGAAGCTGCTGGAAATGAGGACAGAAATGGTGGCATTGGTAAGAATTGAGACCGACTTTTCTTGGTCATTTTATTCATCTCTGCTTCATCCTGTGCGTTGTTACTGCTATTTGTAGTGATGTATTATAGGAAAATATGTGCAGGTTTAATGTGATAGAATTTTTTAAATTGTTGTAAAATATACATAAACAGTACCATTTTAATCATTTTTAAGTGTATGTCATTAAGTACATTCACGTTATTATGCAACCTTCACTACCATCCATACACAGAACTCTTTTCATGTTGAAAAACTGAAGGTCTCCCATTAAACAGTAACTTCCCCCCGCCCCAGCCCCTGACTACCTCTATCTACTTTCTGTCTATGAATTTGACTAATGTAGGTACCTCATATAAGTGGGATTATACAGTATTTGTCCTTTTGTGACTGGCTTATTTTCATTTAGCATAGTGTCCTCTAGCTTCATCCATATTGTAGCATATATCAAAATGTCCCTTTTATAGTTGAATAATAATTAGATGGATACACCACATTTGATTATTCTGTCTCTGGACAGTTGGGTTGCTTCATCTGGTGGCTGTTGTGAATAATGCCACTATGAACATGGGAATACAAATATCTGTTGGGGTCCCTGTTTTCAATTTTTTTTTTTTTTTTTTAGCATATACCTGGAAGTGGAGTATCATAGGATTTTTTTGCATTTAACCAACTACTTGATTATCATAATAAAAGTTTAAACCTCAGTGATTTAAGAATAATAAGGAATGGACTTTTTAAATTACATTTTTAGTTAATGGCATGCATTTACTTCTTTTTCATTCTGTATTACTTGGAACCTCTGAAACCCACAGGAGATTTCTATGAGAGAATATTGGAATATTCCTCTGGAATACTTTTCTGTTCATCCAGGCTCTTGTTTTTTTATTTGTTACCTGAATTGTTAGCCATAGGGAACTACTTACCTGCTCTAGAATTTTTAGTGAAGCATTTCTAGTGCTTTGATGCATTAGTGAAGTATGACAACCCCTTTATAACATTAGCCAAACTCACCATCCTTTGGGGGTAATTATGTATCTAGTTTGACTGTTATATTTGAGAAAAACACAAATAGGCCTTTGGTATAGCCAAGCCTCATAATAATAGTAAAACACTTGGTGTTTGAACTATAAAAGAAGAAAACTTTAAAAAATGTGAATAGAAACAGTGTCAAGGCAAGCACTGTTCCTTTTAAATTACCCAAGATTCTTTTCATTTTTTAAAGCATTTTTGTATGCTTTTCATTAAGGCGAACTTAGAAGGGTGGAACATATTTATTGCCATTAAGAACAGACTGGCTTCATAATGTTAACATTACTTGCAGAGCAATTTTATGTAGATTATCACACTGGATTCTCTAGCCTGTGTGGAGGCAGGACTAATGGTTTTTTGTTTGTTTTTTTCAAACAGAAAGAAACAGGCCTAAGTATTTTAAAGGCCCTGACCAACGCAACATAGCATGAGGATAGTAGAACTAAGACTAAAGCCTAAGTCTCGTTAATCTTACCCCAGTTCCCCTTGACTGCACCTTGGTGGGCAGGAACTCAGGACTGACAGCAGAAGGGATGGTATATCCCAAGTGGTGTAATGCTGCGAATCTCTTTGTTTTAAAAGCATGCCCAGCAAGATCGGGCCGTCACCCAGACAGACAGGAAGATAGATACTGAGGTTGCTGGCCTCAAAACCATGCTCGAGTCGCACAAGCTTGATAATATTAAATATTTAGCAGGTAAGCTGTTTTATATCTAGGTAATTGCAACAAGCTGACAATAAAATAAATAAATTTTATAAACTAACTTGGATAGATATTGCATTTCATTGATTCTAACACATATTTTTTCATATTTTAATATCTTTGAATTTGGCAAGCTTCTTACATTTCCGATAGACAGTATCATATTGGCAATTTTTTCTTAGAAGTAAATAAAATGATGTACTTTACAGTCAATGGAATCTTAAATCTGATAAGATACTATCATTGAATTACAGTTATTTAAAAAATTTTAAGTGGAATTCAAGACGGAATATTGGGTGGATAGAACGAAAAGTTTTTAAGTTGTGACCTTTCTTCTTCTATTGGTGACCTTCCTCATAAGGAGGTATTTGCAATTTTTGAGACAAAACAGGGAATAAAGCTTCGTATACAAAAAAATTAGCCATTATTTTAACTCAAATTTAGTATGTTGGGTTCATCAATATTTTAAAGGTACAATAGTATTAAGAAGTGACATTTTGCTCATAAAACGAAGGCTGTGTCCCTTCCAGTACATATACATGTGCTTTGTGACCACAGACTTTGTGATTCTAAACTCTTATTGAAAGTTCTCTTGATTATTTGATACATTTGTCCTTGAAAAATGATGACTTCAAGGTGTGGGGGTTTTTTATGGGCAGGTGTCTCGTGGGATGTGGCACATCAGTGAAAAAGTTTCTTAATGTGTGGTTTCCCCCTTGTTAGATAGGTGGATATGTTTTCTTAATAAAGAGATGTTCTCTCAGGTAACTATTAATATAACTAATACTGTGCTTAATTATTTTTTTTACAGGGTCTGTTTTTACATGCCTAACAGTAGCTCTGGGATTTTATCGCCTGTGGATATAATAAAGTGTATATTTAAAGAGATCTCTATTGTTTTGCCTTGAGAATACCAGATTGTTGTGCTCCCCTACCCCTCGTTTCAACTTTTAACACCGATTTTTACTTAAAGCCTATTATTTATTTTATGCAAATTATGGACAATAACCAACACAAAGAAGTCAGGAATTTCACAGTTGCTCCTTTTCTCGTTTCTGTTTGGTTGACTTTATAACGCTGAGTGGCGGTGGACAAAACACGGAAGACTCCACTCAGCTGGATCGGTGAACTCGGCCTAACCTGTGGGACACAGCAACAGTAAATATTTGTGTAGCTACCATTGTAATCTTTTGTCACACAGAGGACTTGGGGTCTCCGTTTAAAAGGCACATTGGCTTTACTGAGCGCTGAAGAATCACAGAAAGTAAACCAAGAGCACCATATCCGCTTCGCCTGCCCCGACCTTAGCATCAGCGTCCCTAATGAAACAGCTGTACTTTACTTCCAAAGGAGGGTTTTTTCTTTCAATTGCCATTGTCTTAGTTACTGTTATGGGTATTTTTATGTGCCTTCAGGCTAGAAAATCTTGTTGCCTGGTGAGGTGTTGTAATTGTAATGGGGACTCTTGTACTTGTGGGTTTCTCTCCCTCCCTCTCCCTCACTGGGCCCTTCTTCCCCTCCCTCCTGATTGGAGAGCTATGGTCACACTCCACTGTACCATCCTGGAAAACTTGCTGATTCTCAGCGTGGACGTCTACTTCAGTTTGTGGGATGGGGTCTGCTTCCTCCTCTCGGCTTCTGCCTTTTATACAAGGGAGGCAGTCTGTGGCAGCATCTGGATATTTAGAGAGTGTGTGCACTTTTAGAAATGGCCCATTACAAGCTCAGATCCTAGGCTTTCAAAATTAGAAAACTCATGCCAGCTATCATCTGAGTTTAGGTTGATTTCTTTGGTTATTAAAGAGACTCTCATATCTACCTTACCTCTATATTTAAGACAAATTCCTAGATAAAAGGGTATTTTGAGAAAGCACCATCTCAAAAGCATCCTATTGGAATGACTGGCAGGTAGGAGAAAATGAGCATTTTAGACCGGATGACATTGGTAGGACCTTTGCTGTCCTCCACATGCAGACATGTACGTAATCTGGTACAGTGGAGAGACCACGTTAAGACCACCTGATCAGACTGGTAGAATGAATGCCCACAATCACTGTTCCAACCACACTGGTAAAAAAAAAAAAAGGTCACCTGTTGTCCTGTGGATGTCATTTCTAAACTTCGGAAAGTGTAAGCTGTTGCCTTTTAAAAAAAAAACATTTGTGTAGCACAAAGATTCTGAATTCCAAATAAGTCTGAAATTCAGTCGAGTACTTTTGCATTAAGTGAATAACAACTTAATCTTTCCAACTAGATTTAAAATGACTTAACTGCTTCATAAAATATTTTATCAATATATTCTTTCAGAAAAGGATCCCCAGAAAATGCTGCACATGTAGCAATTGCCTTAAGTAGTAAAGACTCAAGGACATGACATCCCATTAAGACCACAGTTGCAACTACTTAATAACTTTGGTTGGCAGAGCTCAGAGAAAAGGCGTGGAGTACAGACTCTCCTCCGAAATAAAGAGCACCCAAGGGAGGAAGTGTTATATGTGATTATGTTTCAAAGCAGACATCAACTTGTACAGGTTGAAAACAGTGAAGTGGCCTTATATTCTGATAAAATATTTTTAAGGTAACATTCAGTGGGGTGACTTTCTTTCACAGGCCAAAAGGAGTCCAAGTCAGTGGTCGCCAACCTCTCAGACCTCGTGGACCACCAGTGATCTGCGGACCACCGGTTGGCGACTGCTGGTCCCAATGACATTCCTACTGCTGATAGTGGGCTGCATCAGCCCTTCACTTATTTGGGCCGTTGATTTTGCTGTGGAGTCAGCCCTTTGCAGTACAGAGCAGCCTCTTTTACCCCTCTGCCTTGGGAACAAGAGCTCTCCTTTGATGGAGGGATTGCGTGCTGATGTGGAAGTTCAGAGGGTTCGGAATGATGTTCCCTTTATTTAGTCAAGTGTATTCTACTTGAAAAGCATATGGGCCAAAAATACAAGTGTCCCTTTCCCACTGCTGGCCCAGATATTGTGAACAGTGTAAGCATGCCGCGCCGGGACACCGTGTGACAACTTCCTAAGCCCGCTCGGCTTGGCAGGCTTCAGATCACTTTAGAAAATGAAGCATTCGCACTCAGAAGGGGGCAGATGCCTGGCAAGGCTTCAGAAAATCTGTGTCTAGCCCTGGGGAAATTAACCACAGGTAGCTCCTGAAGCATACCTCTCAAGCACAGGTGCCTAAGGTACAGATGCCTGCAGCAGAACCTCACAGATGGAAACTGTTTCCTTGTACTAATTGCTCCATTCCTAAGGGCTCCTCTGCATTCCCACTGTCTCCTCCCCCTTTATCTTTTTGAAAGAGCTGAACTACATTTCCTCTTCTTATCTGCCCCATTATTAAGCAAACCCTGTTTGTGTGTGCAGTTCTTACAAGAGACATGAATTTTTGGTTTTCTAGCTAAATATCTGACAAAACTAAATCTGAATGTATTCATTTTTCCCCTTAAGTATGCTAAGTGCCTCAGTTGAGAAGTCACAAATTCACGAAGAAAGGCTTGATGACGAAAACCACGAGTCCTGCTGGGATTTGTCTCTGAACACATTAAAAACCAAAACCCTGAACCACTGTGAACGTGATCCTGACTGGACTGTCTTGGGCTCAGCTCTGCTTTTCCCTTCGCAGCCCCACTCAGTGGCATGGTCCCACTTCGTTCTGGTCGCCTCCAGCCTCGCCGCTTGTTAGTTAGCCGTGTCAGCATCAGCAGGCATTCCTCTTCCCTCACCCTAGTGTTTCTCTTCCCCTACCCTAATGTGCTGTGTTCTGAGAATTCTGGCCTCATTTCTGAACAGATACACAGTGGTACTAGAGAACTCATAGAAAACTCTGACTTGAACGTACATTTACCAAATTTGTGATTTTTCTGACACTACAGCAAAAACATGTTAATCGGAAATAATTATGTATATAAAATGTTTGAGAATGTTTATCCTTTTATTGGAATTTATTTGGAAAATACCCTTCTACAGATTTACGCTTATTATGTTCCTCTGATTATAACCCAAATAATTTCTTAACCCTTTCATTACTTATGCAAATATTCAGTTATCCTTTATGATATATTAGAGTGGGTATAACATTTTTATCATCTAAAATAAAATATTTAATTCTCTCCGTGTTACTAACACACTTTTCTATTTGTTCAAATTGAATCTGAACACTAGAACTTCGCCTACACTGTATTTCAACTGTTATTCCCTCCCATTGTATATGATAACACAAATATTATAAGAAAACCTAGTATCTAAAAATTTGAATTTGCATAAAAGACATTTGAAAGTAAATATTTGATTTACAAAATAATTTTTTATTTTTCAAAACAATTCTTTTAGCATGTTCGTGGGAAACACTTGACTTGTTTGAGGGGAAGTGGGGTATATACTAGTACACAAGTTTTTTAAAATAGCTGAAGATTCAGGTTGCAAATGATAGAACCTAAATCGAACCAGCTTGAGCAAAAAGGCAATGCTTTTTTGACTTACGTAATCAAAGTTCAGAAAGAAAAAAACCAAAACACCATCACTTCTCCGTACCTCTTACCACTCAGTTTTCTCCAAGCGGGCCCAGTTCTCTCAGTCCAACTTCAAGTATGGAGAGTCGGAAATAGCCAGCAGGTGTGCTACAACCTCACAGTTAGAGTTCCACTTTGAGAAAGCCTGGAAGGAAGTACCCCTATGGGTCCGTTCCTTGCAGGCTTCTTCCCTGAGGACCTGTGAGCAATTATCCCACCCCTGAAGAATCAGCTCTGCAGTCAGCCTGCCCTGGCTGATGTTTGCAGCAATAAACGTCTCCTCAGGAGAAACTCAAAGGAACACCTTGGCAAGACATAAATGGCAAATAGCCTGGAAATTGATTTTAGATACATTTCATTTTCTCTAACCAGAACTCTTTTACCAAAATTAGAGTCAAACTAAGTAGATTTGAGGATGAGCTGTTAAGTTTCTCAAAGGCACTAAATGATTTGCAAACTCAGTCTGTGTTTAAAATGGTGTGCCGTGGTTAGAAGGTCATCTATCCACATTTCTCACCTGGATTCCACTCAGCTGTGGTGTGTGACCAACTTAAAAACATTTCCTTTGCTTTGGGGCTTTGGTTTCTTTCCAAATAAAATTTCTAGAAGCTGCGTTCTCTCTGGAATCAACCTCTGGCATTCCACGGCAGAGCTTCACCACGCAGTGGTGTCTCTACCTTAACTGCAGTTTCCACACAAAGATCAGACTGGGAACGGGAGAGGGGTCATAGAGCCACTGTCAACCTCACGGGTCTGAGGTTTGGTGCCCTTAAAGAGGGAACACTAAGCTTGTCTTGTACATACAGATATGCAGGTAACTGTTTTTTAGACCAATACTGAGGAATAAGAAGTTGAAATACTTGGGCATTTTACAAGGTCCTAACTTTTCTGTTTATACTAACCTGTGTGCGTGCGTGCGTGCGTGCGTATACTCTGTTTCAGTAAACCCCAATCAGTGGCTTATGATCTTGAAGTTTCAGGTCAGTGTAACACTAAAGCCCAGGAAGCTGCACTCCATTCCAGGTAGTGTGTCATTTCTGAAGTTACTGTCTTGAGAGGTCTTTCAAAACTTCCCTCCTCAGCCATTTAGATTGGACAACACCCATTCTCCCAGGAGAAAAGACAGCTGCTTGGTGGTGTCTTGTGCCTTCCGACATGAAAGTCAGGGTCTGCCTAACATAGAAGTGGGGTTTTTTTGTTTGTTTGTTTTTACCATTTCTCTTTAATTTTACAGTAATTTATGGTTTGGATGAACCTCACAGCAACCCAAGCCAATGCTGTAACAGGCACTGTCTCTCTCAAACCTCAAGAATTGCTATCTGAAAACCTCAGTGGGAAGGCTGTGGGGAAGAGACGGAGGCCAGAGATCAAGACAGTCTGAACCCATGCGAGCACGTGTGCATGTTTTCATTGCATTTGTGTCAATTGGCTGCTTTCAACTGCAAGTAACAAAACAAACAGTGCTTGTGCCTAATGACTTCAATTCTTACTTGAGTCTAGAAATAGGTGATCCTCAGGGTTGGGTTGGCAGCTCACTGTTGCTTTCAAGAACCCATCTCTTTTCATCTTTGGCGTTTTTACCTTCCTCTATTTGTTAGCTTTCAGCTTCAGCCTTGGTCACCAACCTACTCACGATATTGCTAGCACAGCTCCAGGCAGCACGCCCTCGCATGGCAGCATCCAAAGGAAAAGAGGTGGGAAAGAGCTCTTTTCAGATGTCTCCTTTTAATCAGGGAGAATGCTATTCCCCTCCCGCAGAAATCCCCTTATGTCTCGGGCCAGGACGAGGTCACTAGAGCAAGACAGGTAGCAAAGGGGAATATTTCAATTCTTTAGCCCCTCTGGTAGGATATGGTCAAGGAAGAAGGAGGCTAGAAATGGATGTTGGTTGGCATTCAACAGTGTTGGTTACAATGTTCATGAAAATACAGAACAGTCTGCACTCTGAAGAGAGCCGTACAACTAACTTGGAGTGACCACCCTTTGGTGACTAGAAACAGTCCAGAATATCCTTTCCCTTTATTACTAATAACGTGGGAATTTTAGTCTGTGGTGCGTAATATTTTTACTGGCTTTCCAACCAAATCTTCAATCCCTTTTTTTTGTTTTACAAACCAGTTTTCAGGGTTCCACCATTATTCTGAATAAAGTTGCATGATTGAGGGGGGGGGGGGGAAGGTTGTTCATTAACAAATTCACATACACACTTGAATATTTCTCAAAACTGCTCAATATACAGGGTTATGTATCCTTAGCTTTGCCATATTATTTGAGCCAAACCATAGCATACCCCAGGCTCCACTCTCTCCCCTTCAAAGCAGCAGGGTAGCCTTCCCACAGGCCCTGCATCCCTCAGCACCCACAGGTTTATGTTGCTTCAGTTACTTTAAGCTGCATGGCGAAAGCATGTCGCCTGCACTCCATCTCTCTTCTCTTCCCAGCTTCCTGGTTTCCTCTTTGCTATCTCCTCTAAAAATAACCCAGAACATATATTCTTGATCTGAAATTCACAGGGTTGCAGGAAGTGTAAAAAGTAAGTCCGTATGTGTTAGGATTCGAGGTTGGAGGGGATGACTGGGCTTCTTTGGGGGTGGACCTAGATGGCACTGTGGTCTCTACTGAGCAATATATTCTTTGTGGGATGTTGCAAATTACAGATTATGTCCAACTTAGAGGCCCGGTGCATGAAAATTTGTGCACTCGGTGTGGGGAGGGGGGAAGGGAGGTTCCTCAGCCTGGCCTGCACCCTATGCAGTCCAGGACCCCTGGGGGATGTCCACCTGCTGGTTTAGGCCTGCTCCCCGGAGGATCAGGTCTAAGCTGGCAGTCAGACATCCCTCTGGCAGCCCGGGAGCCCTCGGGGGATGTCTGACTAACAGCCATTAGTCGGACATCCTTAGCGCTGCTGAGGAGGCAGGAGAGGCTCCCGCCACCGCTGCTGCACTCGCAGCCATCAGCCTGGCTTGTGGCTGAGCAAAGCTCCCCCTGTGGGAGCGTACTGACCACCAGGGGGCAGCTCCTGCGTTGAGTGTCTGCCCCCTGGTGGTCAGTGTGCATCATAGCAACCAGTTGTTCCCAGTTCCACCTTTATGGTCAATTTGCATATTAGCCTTTTATTATAAAGGATTTCTTCGTATGGCCTAGGACAGAAAAGGTATGCTTATGGTGCCTGCATGCAATTCAGTCACAAGGTCAGATGCTCATGAAAACAAAAAGCTGTTGAACCAGGCTAGGTCAGTCAGTCCTGAGTTTTCTCCATTAATATTTCTGTGAATCCTGTGGCATGGTCAGGAGCACCAGCAAGTGCTGTTAGAGAGGCAGTAGCAAGCCCAAAAGTTTAAGATTGAGAAAAGTCTATTAACAGCTTTCTGTCAGTTAGTAAAACCATGATTATTTTGTTTTAGCTGCACAATATCTTAGTCTGGTTGTTAAACACCAGTTTTTAGGGGCAGATAATTTCACAACCACTAATATGATGAATTCAGCTCCCCAGCCTTGCCATGTTAAACCTTTTAGCCTTGCCTAGCCTTAGTTCTCCCATTTCTAAAAGCATAACAACAGTAACGATAATAGTATCTGGGAATAGTATAGTGCATTTGTTTGCTGTATTCCAGGACAGTCCTAAAGTTTTTACACACTCATTGAATCTTCACCACATTTCTATGAATTAAGTACTACAATGACATCTGTTTTTAGAGGAAATCAAGACAGAGAGAGTTGAAATAACTTGCCCAAAGGCACCCAACTGCTAAGTGGTGACTCCAGATTCAAACCCAAGCATTCTGACTCCAAGGAATAGAAATCCTACCCAACTCATAGCACTTGGTAAGGACTGAATGAGGTCAAATACCTGAAAATGTTTTGTAAACTGTAAAACCATACATGCACAGCAAACATAATGCAGTCCATGCGCCATAACTAAATTCACTTCGTAGTGGTTACTAGTAGTATGGCTTATATTACCACCCAAAGAACTAAATTTCCCTTAGTATGCTCCTTAGCAACCACTCCAGAGTACCCAGACAGACACATTTCCAGGGAAAGATGCAGGATCTTAGCAAAAGTACATAACCCTTCGAACTCCTAGGGTATAGATAATAGTAGGTATTAGGGGAATAAGGTAGCCTACAGGAAATCAGCATGAGCTCTCAAGTGCTGGACCCCACCAGCCCTCATATAAATTCCAGATGATTTTGAATGTTCATATTTATTTGGAAGTCTTTATATAAAAAGATTGATGTTGAGCCCAGCCGGTATGGCTCAGCAGTTGAGCATTAACCCCGGAACCAAGAGGTCACTGGTTCAATTCCCGGTCAGGGCACATGTCCAGATTATGGATTTGATCCCCGGGGTGGAGGGGGTGTGTGCAGGAGGCAGCCGATCGATTATGTTTCTCTCTCATTGATGTTTCTCTCTTATGAAAAAGGCCTCCCATTAAAGAAGACTCATTACAGCCATTAAAAGTAATATAGGTTAGCAAAAAAAGGAAACCTATCTTTTTTTTAATCTAACACAGTGGCCAGTATTGTGCTTATGGCAGCCACGGCAGGCAGAGCCACCCATCCTGACCACAGGACCTCTTCTAGGGAGTGAGTTAGTGT